AMMAMAAAAAAAATCCCTCTTTGAAAGAATCAGAGGCAAAGGAACACCTCGACTTTGTTGTGTTAATTGTTCCGGCGCTCAAAGTTCCGACGAAATGTCTCAGAAATATCCTTGGCTCCGCGCCCACGATGTGTCAGACACACAAAAAAAGGGCTCTGGTGCAAAACCTGAGGGGAGAAAACCAACAAAGGGAGATTCCTACGGGAAGGAACCACCCCGAGGTTCCAAGGACGGAGAAGCGATGGAACCCAAATTCCAGAGCTCCGGGGACATCCCAGAGCATCATTAGGAGCTGACGGATAACGAGGAGCGGCTCTGGCTCTCCATCCAGCTCCTTCCGCGGCCTGGGGAGCTCCCGCGGGATGCCAGCYCCGTTCGCGACACCCGAGGGAGGTCACAGGTGTCCCTTTGTCCCCCGATCCTGCTCCTCCTGCCTGCATCCCAAAGAAGCGCCCGGTGGATCCGGGTTTCCCGGCACAAGCCCGGGCAGGAACGGGTGCCCGGGGCTGACTCAGAGCCCCGGGGCGAGGGGAGCGCCCAAAGCTCGGCTCTGCCGGGAAACCCTCCCGGGCCCGGCTGGGAGTGGTGCCGGAGCCGCTYTCTCTGCTCCCCCAGCCGCCTCACGGCTGCTCCAACCCCAAAATTCACCTTTTTTCCGTTTTTCAGGGCGCTGCGGCTGCTCGGGGATGTCACACGGGGATGTAACACCCAAAGCAGCCCCTGGATAAGAGGCGGGGTCCAAGCCTGGGGTGACCCACTGACCCCCAGACACCTCACCCACCCCAGCATTCCCATTAAAAAAATCTTTGGGAATGCCTGGAAGTCCCTACACCTGTCCTTTGGCGATGGCTGCAGTCCCAAACCCTGGGATGCAGCAGCGGGAAGCACCAGTTTGTCCCAGTACCCCCAGTACCCTCAGGAGACAGGTCCAGGCTGTCCCAAATTGGATAATCCCTTGGGACAGCGACCAGGGAAGCTCTCACCAGTGGGTACAACCCCAAACCCTCCAGCATCCCCTCATCCTCCAGGATAATCCACCCCCGAGGGTTTCTCCCGCTTTTCCCATCCCCCGAGAGTTTCTCCCGCTTTCCCCATCCCCCGAGCCATCCCAGCCCCGCTCCCACACCCCGGCCCGCAGCAAACTCAGCGTTTGGAGCTGAAGTCACCCCCAAAAAATGGCGTTTTCTCAGCAAAAGGCGGGCTGAGGTCATTTCCAGCCGCCCCAAAACCCCGCGGGGCCCGGCGGGCCGAGGGAGGGGAGCGGGGAATTGCCAATGCTCGGGATGAAAGGGGCCGGGTGGATGAAAGAGCCGCCGATAATGGTTGGGGGGCTGAGAGGGGGGCTTGGAGGCGGCGGAAATCAGCGCCGGGATGAAAGGAGCGTTTCCAGGGGCTGCCGGGGGAATTCCGGGAAGGGATGGGGCGGTCACCGCACCCCTCCCGCCGGCTTTGGCTGCCGCCGTCACCCCCTCATCCCTCCCTGCACGGGCATTTCCCATCGCAGTGACCCGGGWTGGGTGGGAAGGGACCCGGAGCGGCCTCAAGGAGCTGCCGGGGTTGGGCTGAGCCGGCCACGACACCGCGACAAAGCCCCGCTGCCACCCCGCAGCCGTGACCCGGGATGGGGTGGCCAGAGCGTCCCTCGCACCCAGGGGTGCCCACCCTGGAGCTGCCGCGGCTCCAAACAGGGTGCATTTTCCAACAAATCACATCTGAGGTCACATCTGAAGCGAAATTATAATCGCAGACCCCACTGGGGCCCGGTTAGCCCAGCTCTGGTGGCCGTTCCCAAGCTCCTGTGACGATTTTTGGGGTCTCTGCTGGAGGATTTGTCCGAGGAGGAGAATTCCACCCATCCCACCCTGCCAGAAACTCCGG